GTTGTACAAGGATTGTAGTCAATAATGGAAAGCCAATCTTGAAATGCTTCAATCTACAACAAAGCATCCAAGAACTCTATCCGATTCCTCACCGACACATCTTGATATTCTAAATCAACCAACGATCACTCTCGTTACGGATCTTACCACCTCAACCTTCGACTTAGTGCGTTTCAACATCAATAAAGATATCATTAGTCAAGTACATATGAAGTTTGCTTTGTAAGGCCTGGATTGAATGCTTAAACTGCTGCCTGAAAGCGAGGTCGAGAATTACAAGGTTCAATCACGCCCAGCTGTTACCAGCTACTCCTCTCCTCTCCTAAACATTTAACATACGTCTTCAACGTATTTTGACCAGTCTCAAAGTCACCATGACCTTGTTTCCCGTCACAGGACATACGGTTATAATTGCCAATCTTCTCACACACACTATATATAGATTGCAAATTGGGGCGACAGCGTTATTCAGCGCGCTTGGAGTTAAGTCGAGGAGGCGAAAAATATTCCACAAGTCATGGTGTGCTACATCACGATATGTGAGGCGCCGCTCGTTCCACTCTATAACCATATTCTATATATCTAACTGTCATCTGATGGTGTAGGAGTATTGGATGACGAATTCAGCTTCAACGGTAGGCCCTGTCGCATCACATCACCTACAAACGATGAATCCGCACACAGGATGACGGCTGGAAAAGAGAATGTGTAGAGGAATACTAGTGTTGGAGTTCTTCAATGATGCAGAGATGTGAGCCTGCGCAAACGTCACTGTTTCAATGGAAGTCCATCTGTTGGTGAGGTCTCAAGCCCCGCTAGACGCCATGCAGTTTCATAGCACAAAGTGGTTCTATATTTTTAGTGCGAGCGATCAATTCTTCTCAAGTGATATTTCTCATCATACCCCGCCTGGCCTGAAAGACTCGAAGATTACAATAGCGATGTTCTAGACATGTTGAATCTCATTCAACATCATTCTGATATTGTGAGACAAGGGCTTCAAAACACTGTCTCGATCATCATTGTGCTTGTAACAACTTCAACAATTAACCTTTACGTCGAGACTCTCAATTTCTGAAAGTTCTGTCACGTCACCAGTCGAAAAGAGCCATCAGTCGTACGAAAATTTGTGAAGTTGTGACGCGAGGAAAAAGGTTACCCATCGTCTGTCTGCGAAGCGATTGGTGTAAGGGAGAGAGTAGCTTGGGGCTTATACTCTGCTCCAACCATCGCTAGACACGTTTCTATGCGACATCGTGGTTCTAATTCATTAGATGCTGCATGGCGGTAGGTTGCGCTTGAGTCTGAAAAGGCTCATGGGTATGTATTTTTTCTTAAGTTTTCATTCCTCCTTTTTTTGATCTGTTTCTCTCTATCGATCACTTCGATGCAGAGCCTGGAGACTTTCTGTATGTATATCCAAACTGGAGGGTCTGTTTAAGCATCTACAAAGTAAGAGTAAGTGAGTCGCGCGCAAAGCTAAGTTATGATTCCATAGCATTCTCTCTTTATCATCAACACATCCATCCTACTAAGGCATTAGATCTTTTGCAAGGCATCTTACCATACATACACAGCAGAACCAATAAACCCAATTAAAACGACAAGGTGGATGGCAGGAAGACTCGCATCTGTGAAAGGCTATATTGACTCGACGGTATCGATGACCACATCACGTCTCGATGAGAACCTTTCGATCTGAAACCCGTTTTCCCTCGAGGACACCTTACTTGCCGCGACCACGACCATTCTATCGCTGCTCATATCAATAATATCTCGATACTTACTGATTACTGATCACTGATACTTCCACTTCTCTATCGTCACTTCACTTCACTTCACTTCACTTCACTTCACTTCGCACGATACGATAGGATATAATAAATCACAACCTCTCAGGAATCGCAGCAGGGTACACATACACGACTGCGCTTCCTCTCCTCAGCATTCACGAATAATCTTTATACTCGAGTACACCGATTCTGATTCTCGTCAACAGGCGTTCAGAGCACACTTTTCCTAAATTTACTATACCCTCGGGGTGGGCGGATTGTGATTGTCATGTTCAATTTACTCGAGTATTTGGGTTTATTTTCATATTCTGGAATACTTTGTGGAGATGGAGATGGTGATGGGATTGGGGATTGGGGATACCAAACTTCAAATTTCAATCATTGAGTCTGGACTGAGTTTGGATGTGCGACTTGGGTGATGGGACAGGACTTGCTTGGTGTGATTGGTGTGCTTGGTGTGTTTTATATTTCGGATGTCTGCGGTTGGATTTGGAGTTGAAGGTTGAAGGTTGGAGGTGCCAGTGCCAAATATGGTATAGGTAGTGAATATAGGTAGTGCAATAGACTTCGATGATTGATGCGTGTAAGTAATGTATCTGCAGCCTGCTAGGTGAGAGGGTGAGAGGATGAGGGGTTCTTGTACTCGAGTATTGTATTGTATTGAGGGAAGAGGGTATAAAGTTCATGAAATGAATTTACATAATTAAGCTTTAGGTATGCGAATTCCGCACTCTGGCACACTGGCACTCTGGGGGTTTGTGATGTTACTTTGTAGATTTGAGGAGAGGATTTCGATTATACAGTTTCATGTCATACAATATCATATCATTTCATCACAAGCGGGGGACTTTTTGAACCTGGTTCTATGAGTTTGGATTAGATTCGTAATGATGGTTATTTCTCTTGTTTTAGCTATATTCATATATTTGTATATTTTTGTAATGTTTGTTATACGTTATATTTATACTCGAGTACTGAGTATATATATTTCTTGACACTCTTTATTCATGTACTCGAGTATGTTATTAAACACTATTCGGTATTTTACTTGACTATTCTAAACCAATTCTTAACTCTTACAACTCAACTCTCCACTCTCAATATTTCACCAATCTCTAAAAAATCTCCATACAGATATTTTGTTGTATATCGTATACTATTTAATTATACCAAAAACTATAGACTTTTTTTCTTCTTTCTATCTTTCTATCCTATCACTATCCATCCATCCATCCATCCATCTATCCATCCATCCAAGTCCTAAAGTTATCTCCTCGTTCCTCACTCCTCATTCCAATATTAAAGACACTAATTCATAATTTCATATGTTATACTCGTATTCATATCCATAATTCATGGCACAAGTACTATCGAGTAGATACGTAGTTATTAATGACGCTCTAGGTGACTGGTTTCGGCGTGGTAGATGTAGAGGAGTAGAGTGAGAGATAAGATGAGATAGTATCAGGGGTATGAGTGTGAGTATGAGTATGAGGAAAGAGAGGAGAAGTATCAACAGGCTTAGGGTACTTTACTCAAATTCTATTCTTATACAGTAATACTCTACAACAGCCCTTTCTATTCTAAACTGAGATACAATTTCATATAAATTTCTCTACTGATATATATTAAAGACCAATGACTGGTAATCATCTATTTCCTTTTTTTATCCCCTTCTGATCCCTTCCTTTCATTTCTCTTCCTTTCCTCCCTCTTCCCGCCCCCCTCCAACCCCCACAATCAATCAAAGCCCCCACACTATCTATCTTTCACATAACTCCCAGTCCTAACTTGCTACCTTCCTAAACAACCACTCCCTACCCAAATCCATAGAATACATAGAATCCATCAACGTCCTCATACTATCTATAACTCCTAGTCCTTAACTCCCACTCCTCCATTCCTTCCACTATCCACCATCAAACTTCTTCCCACCCCCATCCCCGTCCCACGAATTCCAAGTCCTTCAGACCAGACCAGTGTTCTACTTCTCCCCATCTTTCGACATTCATTTTCCCATTCCGCTCCCATCCCATCCCCATCTACTGTAACTGTACGAGTAGAAATGTGGTTCACATATTTGACGAATTACAAATTGATATACTCAGTACACCACCACGACGTACTCATACATACTCACACAAACTGACAGTACACTAGTATATAGTCCCCACACTTCAATGACTTTGCATAAAGATATTCCAAAAGAATTACAAACATCCGTCATCCATCCATCATCGAAACAAGACATTTAATTTGGATTTGGAGACTCCAAAAACTGTGTAGAATTCTCATACAAAATTCTCATACACCATATCCATCCACACTCAGTATCATCCGTGATCGTCATGTCATGTCGAGACTGCACATTCCACTCCTCATTGCGATAGTGTTGTAAACCAAAATCAGAGGTTCCTTTTCCTGATCGTTGAACTGTTCACTTTTTGTAGTAATTGGAGTAGTGTCGTTATCTGATAAATTGGTGAAAGGGGGGAGGGTGGTGAGTATCGTAGATTCGAAATACAAAAATGGATCTTATGGAACTCGAGGCTTGCAAACTCAAACAAGGCGAGACCACGAAACGAATAGTGAACAAAATCTTTCGGAACTGTTAAACTAAACTTTATTACACTTCTAGATTAGATCATGATAACCAGCAAATAACTGGTCACTAACCAAGAATCCAAGAATAGACCAATAACAGGTAAAAGTATTCCAAGCCGTAACCAAAAACGACTAAAATATCTGTCCCAAGTCCCCAACTAGTATATCATATTATGGTCCAAAACACCTCGTCTGGGGACTTTTTGGGCTTTCACCCCGAGTTTCAACGTGAACTGTTCGAAAACATAGTTTCTGCCTTCAATACCGAGGACATCGGATCGTACCAACATTCTGTTGTTGCTTGAACAGTATTTTAATTTCTGCCTTCGTACTTTGTCGATGAAGGGTTGGTGGTATTATTGTTATTTCACTTTGCACTTCATTTCGTTCCGTAGATCCGTCGTAGATCCGTGCTAGTATGCATTGGAAGTGTTATGACTTCTAGATATGCGATTCGTATAGCTCGATCTTCGTGGAGAAGCGCAAATCTCGAACTATGATCTTGGAATCAAGATCCTTTAAATTTGCCAAAAGCAGGACAAGGGTGGCTTCCAGGAGTCCTCGCAATTTTAGTTTGTAGATTTTCTGATTCTGCTCAGAATATCAAGGTGGCGAAGATGGTTTTGGAGGAAGTGTATGTACTAAAGAAGGCATATCTGTAACTTCAGACGAGACTACAATAACAGGTGAGGGCTGGCTCTCAGATCTGGATGTGTCGAATCTCGTGAGATTAAGACGAGCCTGCGCCGGAACTTCAAGGGTATCCCGACGAGGTCGTGGCCGATCACCATTTGCAGGAGAAGAGGATAGTTGTGGCGTAGGCAACCGAGGTGACGCTGGCTCGGCAGTACCCGTGCTACCCTCGATGTCAAGTCCTGAGATGATACTGCCATTGATGCTAGGTGCTTTGGAAGAACGAAGAATGGGCGTAATATTCCCATTGGCGTCGCGGGATTGATTGTAAGCTTCCCTAATATGTGGCAGCTTTGGGTTTCGTTGATCTTCTCCAGGAATTTCTGGAAAATCAACTGCTTTTCCATGTTTAAATTCGGAATCGTCTAGACGAAATTCTGCTGCAGTGCCGACATAGTTGCCGATTGCAGTCAAAACATTGGCCACTTTCCGTCTGTTTCCCACGTCTGATGGTAACTTGGCTGGGTCATGTGGAGGTTCGCTCGTAGTCTGCGCCATTTCCTCATGTTCTATTTCATGGGAAGTTCTTGCGCTACTGTTCGAAAGGCTTTGGCGCATCATTTCAATGCCACCTGCAGTGATAGAAGGTGATGGTTCTGAGAATATTCCAAGACCAACCTCCCGCTTGGAGAAATCATGATGCTTTGAATTTTTTGGATTTACTTCCTCGTCGTTGGCTTCCATATTTGCGGCGAAGAGACGGTATAATGACCCAAAAACAGCAAGTCCAGTTCCGACAATGGGCGCCCATTGACCTACGAACAATAACAAGTAAAATCAGCAATGGATAATGCCTATGATAAAAGTAGATACATACCGATAGTTGCTATGGGTTCAGTTTGATATGCGACTTGGCGACTGAAAAAGTTCCTCTCACCGAGGATTAGAATAGCCAACACCGCGCCTACGAACACGGGTACCTCTATAGCGCTTAGAAAGAACCTGATCAAGCTGTTGACCTCTTTCATTTTCCCAACCGTGGCATTGTTAGTGCCCTCAATTGGGGCGTCGATTGGCTCATCTTTACGGCCGAATCGATTGTTCCAATTCGTCTCACGAATTTTATTCCACATCGATACAAGTGAAAGTATAGCAGGTATGCAGCATGCAGCTGAGAGAAGCGTCACCGTATCAAAGGTGAGTTTGTCTGGCGCGGGTATAACGTAGATATTATTGGCCGATCCGCCTCGCATTGGAGAGAAAGGTCCAGAATCAACATCGCAAGTAAGGCCACACATAGACTCGTAGGTGAAGTTGTCTCTAGTATAATAGATTGGATGGCCGTCACCATCAATAGTGCAAGGACTTGTGCTTGTCCGGATAAACTCCACGGTTAAGCTCAATAGACCTTGAAAAGGGGTTAAACATTAGCCGTGCCTCACTGACATCATAAATATCAATACTTACCCGCAAATATTAAGCCAGTCCATAAGAATATGGTATTTCGACCAGGGGTCTCGAAAAAATATGTTCGAGATAATTTCACAGTTATCGGTGCAGCCAAAATACCTATCGAGCATAGCTGGAAAGCCCCATAAATATCCATATCCACCGCACCTAAATTATGAGATGTCAAACAAACTATACGGGTAATATTGTTATAAGGTAGGTACTAACCATCCACATGAACCGCTGCGAGGACTATGCCATGAAGTGCAGCAACGGCGGGGAAAAGCAATGCAGCTGCCAAACAAGCTTCTTTCAGCCACTGTTGTTTTCGGAGAAGAACACATGCTGCTACGAGAACATAGTACCTATAAAGAGAAGAATTGATGAGATGTCAGAAGTCTGACTCTAACCTTGTAATGTTTTCGGAGTAGAGTGGAGCTTTACTTCTTGGGGAAAGTTGTGGAGAAATGGAGAAACTCACAAGACCCGAGAGCCTGGCCCATATTGACCAGATACTGGCCATGCGCATACAACTTGCAATACATTACTTGTAACATTTGTGACTGTATTGTTATTGGCTATTGTGTTCAGTGAAGCCAAAGGGATCGCCGGCATGACCTTTCGTCTGCTTTCGAAGGAAATGGATTCATCGGCTTGAAATCAAGTCGATGGTGGTAGTATGCAAGAGACTTTCTTGTATGATATATGAGATTAAAAGCAGAGTTGTCTTTTCTTAAAAGAAAGCAAATAAGCTTATCGGCCAAGAATGCCATCTTAGTCTTAGATACTCTGAGGGAATTGAATCTGCAGCGTCATCTGTCATCAATCATCAGAATTAGCATTAACGCCTCTGTAGCCTCATCATTTTCCAAAGTGAGGCTGGGTGGCTGGGTATAATACATTGGTAGTACTTCCCTCCGTATACCTTGCCAGTGGAAGCAATCCGTAATCAAGGAGTAGTCAAACAAGCTGAAACTTTACATATTCAAATTATGTACGTAAATACGTAAATGCGCGTCACGAGGTATGTACATCCTCAGTACATGCATATCATATGGTGGTTAAAAATGTTAAAGAATTCGGTTGCCTAAGAAGTGATGAAGGGGGACAAACGAAAAAATGCCGAAGGATGACTAAGATTTGATAGATAGAAGATAGGAGGTTTTAATTGGTCAAATTGCGAGTGTAGAACAGGGGCAAGAACCAATCAAAGGTTTCAATTAATGAAAGAACCTAATTACTAATGCATGAAAAGATCAGAAATATGATGATAATGAATTAGAGACTAAGAATTTCTTGAAAGACATAGTTTTGGTAGAGGTAGCTAGAAGATTATTTCTTCAAGTAGAAATGGAATACTAAGTTATCATGCTTCTAGAATACCGTATTTTCATTTGGTATCATTTCATTGGTTGGAATTTACGAGAATTATTATTCAGCACATAGGAAGCTGTTGTTACTTTTACTCCCAAAGTAGTTGCCTACATCTACCACATCTACACATATAAAATTGTCTCTAAAGATCATACAACCTCTTCTCCAGGACCTCAACACTTTCACGATACAGAAACTCATTTGGATAAGCCCATCAGAGACTAAATCATAAAGCCGCAAGACATCATCTTCCTCATCCTTCAGGCAAACCAAAGTGTGATCAACGTAACAAGTTCAACAAGATGGGTCAGGAAGCATCCCAACCGCAAATCGATCCCAATAATCCTCCTCATACGCTTTCAGCTCGATCTATCGAAGGGGTTGCAGAATTCATCAAAAGTGGCAAAGCAAAGGACATTGTTGTTTTGACGGGAGCGGGTATATCCACCAGCGCCGGTATACCAGATTTCCGATCACCAGAGACGGGGCTCTACGCCAATCTCGCCGCCCTGGACCTTCCTTATCCAGAAGCGGTTTTCGATATTGATTTCTTCCGCGAAAATCCAGCCCCTTTTTATATGCTGGCGAGGGAACTCTATCCTGGCAAATTTTACCCTACAGTCTCTCATGCTTTCCTTGCCTTGCTTGACAAGAAAGGATTGCTGACCATGCTTTTTACACAAAATATCGATTGTTTAGAACGTCGAGCTGGCGTTTCTTCAGAAAAGGTCATCGAGGCCCATGGAAGTTTTGCGAGCCAAAGATGCATTGATTGCAAGACTGAGTATCCTGAAGATCTGATGAAGAAAGCGGTGGAGGATGGAGATCCAGCGAGTTGCTTGGTTCCGCAATGTGGTGGTTTGATCAAACCAGACATTGTGTTTTTTGGTGAACAGCTTCCAGAAGCTTTTCACATTCATAAATTGGATCCCGCCACGGCTGATCTCGTCATTGTGATGGGTACGAGCTTGAGTGTTCAGCCATTTGCCACACTACCATCCCTTCCCGCTGAAGAAGTACCAAGATTACTATTCAACATGGTCTCGGTAGGCGACTTTGGAAGTAGGCTGGATGATGTCGTTGTCCTTGGTGATTGTGATAGTGGCGTGAGGAAATTCGCCGATGCCTTGGGATGGAGAGATGAACTCGAGGAATTATGGGTATCAATTGGAGGGAACACAAAACAAAAAGAAGCTGAAAAGGTTGAGGAAGCCAGACTCAACTTGTCAAGAGATGAACTCCTGGATGCAGACTTCGAAAGGTTGAACGGTGAAATTGATGAAGTTCTAACAATTTCCGACAACCATACACATAGGGTAAATGCCACTCTCCAGAAAAACCCAACTACAAAGTCGACACCCTCATTTCCAGCTCCTGAAAGCATGCCTACGAGACCATCTACCGAAGTCGCTGCCGATAGGGTAAGAAATTTCCCAAATTATTTTATCAACCCCATGATTCATGGCACTATTGATTCCGTGATGCTAACTATACACAGAGTCCACTCCTTACCGACATAACAAACGGAGTACCACTCAACAAAGCAACAACCACCTATCGATCAACCCCAATCATAGACGAGAAATTCGCACACGCCCACGCCCACGCCCAACCCACTCTTCCAGCCCAACATACCCCCCCAGACCATCGCGATAATCACGATGAAAATCGTGAAAACGAAAGTCAAGTACTGGATACCACGATGCCGCAAAACAAGCCCAACTCCTTCGACATCTCTCTAAAAACTTGATCTTGATCTTGATCTTAATCATAACCACCAAACCTGCGACTTGAGATTCGGGAGAGGGAACGATGGGCTCTCACTCCACTCCATGTAACTAAATATCTATATTTATCCTGCCCATCCCATCCCATTCCATCCCATCTCATGACATTGCTAGTGTTCGTCATGAGGATTGAGAATTGAGGAACATAGAAAATACATACATATTGTATTTGTATTTCTGGATAAGACAAGACAAGACAAGACATATGTATCTTACATAGCACAATAGAGCTGCATATGCATATGCCTATACATATTCAATACATACATACAAATTGGGTAGATACTGAGTGGTTATGGTTATGGTTATGGATAAGAATAAGAATACACAAGATACGAGTTAGATCATGTTGATAAATAAAATCCCTGTGGGCTGGTATTGCTAATGGCTAATAGCTATGAGTAGTAAGATTTGTAAATGAATACTCGTAAATAAATACCCTTTGATATCCATCAAGAAAATGTGTACCGACCGGTACGAATATACAAAGTTTCTCTATCACATTTTCATTTTTCTGAATCTGAACTACATTACTTCATCCCTCCCCTCAATACCAAAGAACCAAAGAACTAAACAGTTCCCTCGCTCCCTCGCTCCCTCCTTCCCTCCCTACCAAGCCCTTATTTAGATTAGATTATCCATCCATCCACCCATCCATTCATTGTATTGTATTTACTCGAGTATTCTTGCCCCGTTTTCATTTTCCCAGTTTCTCCTTTCCCCGTTTCTCCTTTTTCTAATTTTCCATTTCCTAATTTTCCTTTTCCTAATTTTCCATACCACAACACAACATACCACAACAAACCACCCACCCACCCACAAAC